TTTCTTGTTAAATGAACTTCTGGCTTCCCTCAATGACAATTTATTAACCAATAATTATTAGAAATGATTTCAAGTACTAGATCTGCGAGAAATTTATAAAATTCGAGATTTTATTTGGAACTTGTAGCTATCATTTGTACATGCTGGTAATTCATGACTATCGACTCATAATTCGCAACTTACGACCAAATTTTATCAACCAACATTGAATTCGATCGTGCAGAAGATGGCGATGAAATTTGATCACACAGAATGCGAAACTCCCATTATACGAACTAAATGAAGTTCCACCCACGCTTAAAATCTTCCACTGTCGCTTAAAAATCCCACTTTAACGAGAGTAAAGAAGAACGACAACGATGACGACGATGGATTGTTTGAATTACGCAGATTGCGTAATATCGTGACGAGTTACGTGGGTGGCCGATCAAGAGTGGAACAGGTTTCACCATCGTAGACCATACACGCTCGAGCATCTGTCGATCGATATTGAGAGAATCGAGTGGACCTAAACTTAACCTAAACCTAACCTAAACCTAACCTAAACCTAACCTAAACTTAACCTAAACCTAACCTAACCTAAACCTAACCTGAAAAGGTTGTTGTTCGGTAGAAAGAACTCGCGATAGAGAAAAAGTTCACTGCATGAAACGCATAATTAAGCGGGGAAAAAAGTTGTCTCGCTAGCGAAAACGATTTTATTTGCATACACCACATACTCGAGACTATCGCAAAACTTGCGTATGACAAATTATCTAACCCGTATTCCGTTACTCAGGGACCGGGGAATTCAGCATACCGGATTCGTTCACCGTTCGATTTGTCTAAATCTAGACTAGCAGACATTTCTTTTCACTTTCGTGCCGCTTGTTTCGTCTCGCCGGACAACGCTGCTAAAATTCGCTTTGCCTCGCCAACCAAAGTTGTTTTCCTTTCCTAGAATCGACGCATGGTGCCACTCGTTTGAGAGAAAAAAAAAAAAAAAAAAATCTTCCTTTTTTCTTTTTTTTTTTACCCCTGCACTTCAACCCTCGCGAAAACAGAAGGAACACAAGTTGAGGAAATCGAAGTAATTTCAAAGTAGCAGAGAGAGGGAGAGAGAGGTTTAAACGGAACGAACGATTGAAAGTCTTCGCGGGGAAAAAAAGGATCGTCCGCGGACAGGTGCACGCGCGTATAACCCGATAAACTGTAATTCCGAATTAGAGCGGCGAACAGTCGAATTAATCCAATTTCCCAGAGTCTATAACGAGATTTGCGCGTCCTAGAGGGACGCGCGATAAACTCGATCGCCGGAAACCGGTCGGAGAAGAGGGGGGGGAGAGAGAGATTAAAACTTGCGCGTTCTGCTTCGTCGTGGTCTTCGCCGAAGAATCCCCGACTAATTGTAAAAAAAATCATTTCGAAAGTTTGTTCGCGGCTCGACGACGACGTTGAAATAATCGGCTCTCCCATCCCGAAACGACGAAGGGGAGAATGAAATGCTCGGTCAGACGGAAATTGCCGTTCATTTTCCTCCTATGACACAGTTAATCCTAGTGTAACACATTCACTTCGTACAGGCTTTACACTGTCAATTAAGTTTTGCATGTTTTTTCTTTTTTTTCTTTTTTGTGGATCATGTATGATCTTTCTGCGTCATAAATCAACTCCCATACGGATTATATTCACCTTGTTGCAAATCAAATTCACCCTAACCTAAAGCTAAACCTAACCTAACCTAACCTATAAACCTAAAAACCTAACCTAACTAAACTAAACCTATAATCTATAAACCTAACTAAACTAAACCTATAACCTATAAACTAAACCTATAAACCTAAAAGCCTATAAACCTAACCTAACCTAAATTTAAACTAACCTATCTAATTTAATCAAATTCACGGATAAAATTCCTTTTTGTCCTTTTGCAAATCCAGTTTTCCTGCAAGATTTGTTTTCCCAAGCCACTGCAACGAAAACAAAATCCAATGGACAGTTATTACTCTGAGATAAACATTTTGTTGCACCTGTGTAATGATAAAAAGTAGCATAAAATTAACATAAAATGCTTGTTTAACACTAAAAGTATATATACATACGTGTAGATTCATCTCTAACGCTTCTGAACAGGATAGTTTTATATACATATTCATACAACATTTATGACAATCCGTGAGAGTAGCTGTCAGCTAAAACATTTCTTACATAGAATTTAATTTTTGAAAAAAACTTCTTCAATGGGGTTCCCTCATTGGAGAGTGTAATGGTAAAAATAATAAAGTGTATTACTTCACTTTTGAATCACTCACAAGGTGAATTTAATTTGCAAGAAGATGAATGAATTTAATCTGCAAAAGAGTTAATTTATAATGCAAAAAGGTGAATATGATTTGCAAAAGGGTTAATTTGGACTGCAAAACCTACAGTAACGACGTGGACATAACGCAAAGAGCAATTGCAAAGTAACACCCAATAGATTCCTGTAATTATAGCTTTAAAATTTAGGTTATGTGGTTAATATAACAAAGTACATTACGAATTGTTAACAATGAACTTTAATTTCAATTCTCACGCGTGTGGTTTGTTTTCTTTTAAGCTTAACGTATGAATATACAGTATTGCCAACTTGACCTCTTTTTTAGTTACAGGTTTATACTGCCAACCCAGCAATAATTAAATATTTATGAAAATTCCTAGTTTTGTATAGATCAGCAGAGTTTTATTTCAGTCATTAAATGAAATAATATTTATGCATGGGTTAGCAGAAATTTATTTCAGTTACTAAATGAAATAAGCCGAAACATCGATGAAATTTTGTTTCAGTTTACAGGACAAAATTAACAATAGAATCACCGACGATAATAAAAAACTTTCTTTCATTTGCGTATTTTACAAAAAAAAAAAAAATCATCTAAATTTCTAAAAATGCGCCGTTGTAAATCTAGAAAATTTCTATGAGAAATGCAAATTTGTCACTTTGCTGACGTTGAGTATTGTGTGTTTCTAACGTTGGTAACTGTAGTCACTTTGGTTGTTCTAATAGTCTTTACTAATTATGTAGTTTGATAATTCTAATGTTAGTCTTTAATTATGTAATTTGGTAGTTCTAATGTTAGAACTTAATGTAGTCCACCTACCGGAATTCCGGTATCTTTCGGAACTGATAAAAAACATTACATGATAATTATGTACAAAAAAATGGTGTTCATTGTGAACCCGGCGATGCAAATAATAATGTAAGACCAGTCTTTACCAATTATGTAGTTTGGTAGTCCAATTAGTTGGTAAAGAATCATTTCGAAATAACAGAGAACCATGTTTTGAAAGAATTTAAGTCTGTTCCCTGTATACACATAACCTAACTTTTACACACGAATTATCGCGGTTGTGCCACTTTTTCGTACTTTGAAAAGAACTTTACCCGCTACTCGATCGCGACTGTCCAATGTTATCGTGACATTCTATGTATCTAATCTGATCGATGTTACCGACCAGACTTTGAACCAACTATATATATGTATATACTATCGTAGCGGCGGATCTTCGAAACTTACCATGTCATTCTCTTTTTTTACAGTTACCCACAGAACGTTGCTTTAAATGATTACCGACAAAAATCCGAAGGAGTGGCCGGTTGAAAGTCCCGCAACGTTAACGGGAGCTCTCATCCTCGCGATGACCACGCAATTAAAAACAAATTTAACTCGGTAGCCATGCGACTCGAGACAAGGAGGGGGGGGAGACAATTCGGTAATAATTGGTTGCCGCAACAACGAATCGTCTGGCCGTTACTAACGAGACGCCACGCGTGTTAATTGTCTCTACTGTGCGATGACTGTCCGTGTTTTTGCACGTTTTGCCAAACGTCGCGTGAACATCTTTTTTTTTATCTGTCCACCGATCGCGAAACTAATCTCGACGACGTTTCTTTTCGAAAGCTACATACGTATAGAGTAATGATGACATTACTCTATACCTAGAACACTCTATATATAGAATGTTTTTGACGAAAGTTGAAAGGAGCATCAATTGACGTGATTGATATTTTTTAATGTTGATGCAT